GCTCGTGCTTTTGATTTTGTCCCATCTCAACTGGAATTCAGTCTTTAGATACGGGTTTTGTTCAGCTTTCAAAAGAGAAGTGAGTTGGTGATGGATGAGAAATATTCTATTAATGAGCCTAAAAAATCAACGCAGATCTCAGATCCCAGCATCAACCTATTCAAACACATGAATCCACGGGAAATCAAGTTTCAATAATAAGGAAATAAGGTTACAAAAAAGCATTGTTAACTTAGGAGTGGAAAAATTTAATCTGTAAAACCAGAGATGACATACATACATACTTCCAACTGCAGCAATAGCTCTTTGAAATAAGACGCAATCTTCTTCAATTAGAAGATCCTCTAATTTAGCACCTCCACCTGCAGCATTTCAAATATGCAGGTTCAGGAACTCCCTATCAAAACGCTCAAGCTCCAAAAGTAACTAAATGGACTATTTGGCGATTTTGAGGACTATTAAATTGCCTTCCCCCAACAGGAAAAGAGGTAATACTTAATCCTGGGCTGCTCTTAAATAAAGGAAGCAGCTTCGCACGGTTCCCGCTCTGAAATGAGGAGGGAGAAGGTACCACTTCCATGGGCCAGCCTGGAGCTCATCAGGGCAATCACCCCCTGCCAGGCTCTTCAAAAAGAGAGAATTCTGGTTTTATGGAGCAGAAGCAATATCTGACTCAAGTGGAGAGATGTCTCCTGTGCAGGCAGGCAAAGCCTCACTTTGTTGGGGAAGAGCTACTGTTTCCTCTGGGGATTTCTACACCGTTTTGGGATGAATGTTTCCCATAATCTATTTGTGTAAATTTTTTTATAAAAGATTTCCTTTTACTAAAACCTTGTTTATCCCCGTCTTCAATAATTTTTATGACTTGTTTTACTGGAACATTAAACAGGGAATTTCCAAGACTTGTTTCAAGCATTTTTTTTGGATATAAACCAGAATATTACTCTTGTCTGTAATTTTAGAGTTTAGTTTTTAACCCTCGGCACAACACAAACACACTCTTAATTAAGTGTAGCTACTGTGTATGCTGGTCTGCAGCCATCATTTGCACAGAAGTTCCTCCTTTATGTTGCAGAGAGTGGTATAATCTTTAAATAGCTTCTTACTGCCTTCAACTTCCTTATTAGCTTCTCTCCCCAGACACAGATACTGGGAATAAAGACAAGCTGAGGTCACAGCAATTGCTGACAGAGAGAAGGGAAACGGGGTGGGACGACTCCCTTTGCACGGAAATAAATGGCAAAGGCTGGAGTGGGATGATTCTATGATTTTGTGATTCCTGGTCCGAGTTTAGCCCAGCTCTGAAGCAACAGAGATCCACACAGCAGAAATTACGTTGCTCAAATACAGTATCTGCCTTAATTGCCATCATTATATCAAGCGAACAAACCAGATAAACGAGAGCTCCCCAGATTTGCCCACATAAGACTTGTTATCAGCTCTGGAAAATGCAAGAAATCATCTTAGGAAATTTTAAGCAGCATCAAGCAGCACCTTTTTCCCCGGGGAACGCTTGGTCCATAGCAGAGAGAGCACAAACCCCAGGATCAGCACGGCCCCATGGGTGGTGATGGCTCGGGATGGGGACTGCACCCTGTCACCCTTAGAACAGGGAGCTGGTGACCCCAAAATGGCTGGATCTCCAAGCTGGGACCACGCCCACCACTCTGCTCCTGGCCCAGCACCCAGCCGGGTCTGAGGAAGGGGCAGAGAACCAGTCCTTCAAAAGGTACCAGCAAACAGCACTGCTTTGGGAGAGAAATAACCACAAAATCCCCAAACTTGGGAGAGAAGCTGTAAGAACTGCCTGGTTCCAGCACCACAGCAGCCTCACCAGGGATGCAAAAGCCCAATGTCCCATCTGTGAGAGATTTACCAGCATCTGCAGCAAGGTTTTATATTACTGAGCTGGTTTTTTGGGTTTTTTTTTAAATTTAATTTAAACAAGAGGTAGACTTTTTGTTTGTGAAACTGCACCTTCTTAAACTTAATTTCTAAACCCACTGACAAATGAACATTTAATTTTGCAGTGAATTAATAGTGCTTTATGGAGTGAATCACCAAATTCAGAAGCAAAGCAATGAATCCAGCTCCCAGTCATTAACACAAAATAGATAGTTTCTATTCCAGTGTAAATTGCCCGAGGCCTTATTAACATAGAAGAATGAGCCAGGAAGCTGTTTCCTGTTTTCTAGAAGTAAACAGAACTTCATTTCTAATGTATGGAAAATTCTCATTTAAAGACCAGGGGGCAGGGAACGGTGTGTTCTAACACAGCGATAGAGACCTATTTAAATATTGAATTGTTTCCAGGCACGGTGTGCTATTTCAGAAGCCGAACCTGTGGATCCCACATCCAACCCTTCCTACCCAGGAATGAGGACGGAGAATCCAGCCCTGAGAATTATGCAACCCTCTGACAGCATCTGTTTTTTTGGATGATTCAAATATCATTAGAACTACAGGAAAAGGAGCACAATAAGAAGTGAGACTTAAGGTCTGTTCGGAGGAGAACATTGAGATTTATGTAGTGGACAGGAAGCTACTTTCAGGCCAAAGAAAAAAGAAAAAGGTTTTTTTTTTTTCAAAGTGTTTTTAAAGTAGAGGAAGCAAACTGAAGGGTTGGAAAAGAGTATTTTGAATACAGTGAATTTGTTCGCTTAATCCTTTTTATTAATATCTTGTGCCTGAATCTAAGTAACGTTGACAATTTGAAATGGATCTCAAAAGCCACGACCAGGTCCCCTGTGAATGCCCAGGGAGAGCTGATGCTCCCTGTCACAAACACCCCCTACCCAACTGAGAGCAACACATCAGAAAAAGTAAACCCCAGGAAAAAAATGTGAAGAAGTGGGCAAGGGCAGGTCATAACATGGTAGAGGCATCAATTGATTAGAGGTGACCCAACAGGGGAACCTGACCCCCGAGAAATAAAGGTGGGGAGAGACAGCCCCTCTCCCAGCTGCAGAGGGGGGATGGAGCCCCCAGGCAGGGCAGAGACCCCCAGCAGAACCCCCTGGCATAGGAGAAAGGGAAAAATCTGGGGAAGGGAAGCCAAGGGAAGGAGCAAATCAAGCAGTCTCTGCAAAGCCAGGCTTTTGGACCCCGTGAGAAATGGGGCCAGCGCCAGCCAACAAGTGGCCTGATACCATGAGGGAGAGGAAAACTATTTTAGGCTTTGTCATCTGCACACATGGATTCTCTCTGCTAAATGCCAGATGCTAAATGCTTTTCTCTAAGCATGCAGCAAGATCAATTATTGCAGGCTGTACTACAATCAAATTACAAGTTTACAAATCAAGGTACTCTTTTTCTCTGCGCGTGCTTGTTCTTCCCTATAACGTACCAAAGGATCTGCCTCAAACATCCAGAGAGCTCAGAAGCATTTAAATCTGAATTAGACATCAAATCAGGCCATGAGGGGAAACACATTTTTTTTACTAAATGGGAAGAAAATAGGCGTATAAACCTCTGATTTTTAACCAGTGACATCTATGTGCCTAATGTAACTGCTGGAGAAAACCACGGCCACTGTTTAAGACCATGCATTTAAGATCCATGTTTGTCACCACTCGGGGTACCCAACACACGTGGGTCAAACTAAATCCTTGCAGTTTCCACCCTTCATTTGGTCTTAGAAGGGCAGCATTTTCATATGTAGCAAAACATGAGGAAACAGATTAGGAAGGTGACTTTTCCGTTAGTTACAGTCCCACACAATAAGCTATTTCAGCCAGCGAAGCCCTGTAAGCTGTTACCACGGTTACTATCAGTAAACAAAAGGAAAAGCACAGTGAGGCCAGAATTTCTCTAACTGTATATTCCAAATAAACAGGTAAAGCGAGGCCTGGAGTTTCCTGCTTCTGAAACTCTGTCCAGCCACCAGATGAAGCAGTTACTGGACTTTTTTCCCTTTGTGTATCAAAGGAGCATGGCAGCCTCCACCAGCCAGATCCGATCCCGAACTTTTACTGCCCTTTCCTGCTCCCTCCAGCTCTCCTCGTGTTCTCACATCACAGTGCATCCCTTACAGAAGAGGGGAAAAAAGCTGTAACCTTTGATTAGCTTGGTATTTTATACTACGTAATTATCAAGTATAGGTTACAATTTCATTTAATTTCTTCTCAGTCATCAGCACTTGACAAAGTGTGCCAAAGGGTGTTCTAACTATATTAATATCCTCACGCGGGAGGGAACTGCAGGTTAAATTTCAACAGAAGAGATAATTGCTTTCTGTTATTGGAAGGTACATGGTAAAAAGCCTTTGGAACAGAGCTGCTGCATTCCTTCCCGTGGGTCCATGACACGCATTTCACACTGCAATATTGAAGCCACGCTTGTGCTGGTAACACATTCTGACCCCACCAAATTAAAAGACTGATCCCAGGACAGAGGAGAAATCTGAAGTGTGTTCCAAGAGAGGAGTCACGCTCCAGAAGCTGCTGCTGGAAAACCCAGTCCTTGCAGCTCAGGCCCAGAAGCTGCCACTCCTCCTCTGAAACAGCTCAAAGTTTAAACGTTATGAGCAGTGACAGGCCAGCTTGAAAAAGCCTTCAATATGCAACCCTGTCACAACTCATTTCTTCAAAACTCCACTCCTTTCATCATTTCTACCACTGTATTTTTTTCCCCACCTTGCAGAGGCCGAGTGTCAACTGAGCATCCTTCAAAAAGCAGCAGTTTTACTCATTACATATTGTCTCGGCTCCACATTCTCACACCAAAGTGGCCACGAGTGCCAAAGCCCACCCTCCCCGAGCAGGGGAAGCACACCCATAATAATAACACTGAAATACCTCTAGCAGCCAGCCTTCAATGATGAATTCTGAGCCGTAGAACAATATACAGCATTTATAACCCAATACTGCTGAAATTAAGACAGGATTCTGAACCAGTCATAAATCTTGGCCTCAGAACTTCACCTGGGATGCCAGTGCTTTGCAGACCCTACAGCAGCACCATCGTCAGTTTTGTCTCTTATCACGGTATTTACAACGTACCTTTAAGGCTTCTATGACGAGATCTCTTGCTTCTAATTCTCCCTCCAGAATGCTAAACAGCGTCAGTAGTTCTGGTTTGCTGAGTTTTTCCAGATTCATCCTGAAAACCTGAAAAAATGGAACACAGTTTACCAGGTATTTCTTTGTACGTTAAAATCAGTATTCTAAGTTACGACATACAATCTCCATTTAACTGCAGCTTCCAGTTTTTTGGACTGCAAATTGCCCTGGGGGGAAAGGGGAGAATACACAAGGCAACATTTTCTCTCCAGCTTCCAAGACCAGTTGTAGAAAATGCCTTTTTCACCTTTTCCCAAGGGTTTATGAACATATGCACACCCAGATGGTGGGAGCAGAACGTAGGGGCTAACACGACAGTGGAATATTCACCATGAAGTAGCCAAAGTTAATAGGGGAGGGAAAACCAAGGCTATTTAAGCTCCATACTACTGGAAATGACACATCTGGATCACACAGCTGCAAACATCCCTGAGAGTGATGAATGTGACCCAAAATGGGCCACCTACAGAAAGTTAAGGGGCCAGTTGCCATTGCAGTGCTCCGAGAGCTCCCCTGGAACGCCGTGATGCACCACTAATGGCACGGGCCCAAAGCACTTCACAAAAATCAATGCCACAAAAAGCACACACTTAATTACTATTCTTTCCAAGTGTTTCAATATCACCATCATCTATTAAATATAATTTTTCTGCCCACATAAGAACAAAGACCCATCAGCTGAACTGCGCACGCAAAAAGCCTTTTTTCCCCCCTGCATCTTCGCCGATGCTCTTAACCTTGCCCAGTAATGAGCCTTTTTATTACGTTATTTTGTTAACAATGGAAATAATTTCACAGACTAAATCCTTGTCAACTAAATACCCACTGATGATACAGTCTTGTGCTTTGTGCAGCAATCAAATATAGTTTTCTGAGTCCAAGTCACATCCACCTTTCACCACTCAATCAGAAAACGCTACAGCCCGGGGGAGCTCCGGGGAGGTACCAAACCCCGCTGCGCTGGCAGTGACAAAGGGTTAATTTAACCTTTCCTAGAGAAGTCCATCCAGCTCAAACAGTCAGCTGAACTCTAATTTTTCTGAAGTCACTGCTACGTTACAGCTGATTTGCATAACTGTGCCTTGGAGAATTGTGCACAAATGCAAGTTCTGTCTTGTTTATGCCAAAGCAGTTTTCCAGTCGCTGGGAACAGAAAGTTCTGCTCAGGGAGAGGAGCAGGGAGCCTGCACAGAGAGAGTTCTGCTCACAGAGTGGAGTATGGAGCCTGCACAGAGAGCCTGCAGAGCCTTCTGCACACAGAGGAGTGGGGAGCCTTCATACAGCACAAGGAATCAGAGATCTGCTTCGTGCCCCTCTGCTAAGCAGGAGAGTTTCTCATCAGGCAATCCCGTTCCTGCTTCACGCAGCGTTTTACGTGGAATTCCATAAAGCAGCAACATTTCTCCCAGACTTTTCTGGCCACAGCACGGGCTGCTCACAGAGACTCCAGTGGAAGCCACCAGCACTGCCCGGGGCATTGGGGCCGTTTCAAAACCCATTTAACTGGGCACCATGGATCTGTCAGCACTGCCAGGGTGTTCCTGCTGCAGATCCACTAACACACCTTCAAAATACACGAGTGGGGTGTTTGGCGAAGCTGCTCATACCTGTCAGAACTTCAAAAAAGCCTGCTGAAGGCTTGAAACAACACTGTAATTCAGGAAACTCATTCTATTTACTCAAATAGATATCAGGAAGAAATTTTTTACTATGAGGGTGGTGAGACACTGGAACAGGTTGCCCAGGGAAGTTGTGGATGCCCCATCCCTGGAAGTGTCCAAGGCCAGGCTGGATGGGGCTTTGAGCAACCTGCTCTAGTGGAGGTGTCCCTGCCCAGGGCAGGGGGGTTGGAACTAGATGATCTTTAAGGTCCCTTCCAACTCTAACCATTCTATGATGGACTCGCCAGAGCTGCCCAGGAGGTGAAATGAGCATCTTCTAACCATTCTATGATGGACTCCCCAGAGCTGCCCAGGAGGTGAAATGAGCATCTCCTGCAGCTTCGGGAACAGCACTGACAGTCCCACAGGCAGCACACAAGGAGTGTGACTTACAACCTGCTCATCTTACACAGAAGGGGAGGGAGTGCAACAGAAGCAGGAAATTAATGCTAAAACATGAAAAAGTAGCCATACATCGCAAGAAAAGAGGGGGCTGGTTTTAGCCTTTAACATTTACGAGCTTATGGTGGTACCTAAGTCCAAGCTGCACCACTTCCCTGGGCAGGGTTTAGATCTGGAATATCTGAGCTCAGGCTTCATTTCAAAACCATCTCAGTCCTTGCTCAGACTAAATTCATGGGTGCTGAGGCTGAACCAGTACTGACGGGAAATAGGAACAACTTCTTTTGCCAGACACTCATCAAGTTATTTTAGTTTTGGGGCATTTTAAGCCAGAAGTAAAAAGGAGAAGTCTTCTTGGAGATCTTAGAACGAAACGTATCATCTAACTCCGTTACCCCAGGACAGCACATTCTAAACATGGACTTTCAATGTGACCACGGCTGTGCTCTTCTCTGAAAAAGAGATGACACAGGAACGTGCAGCTGCATCTCTCCAGCACACTTGGAGAGTGAGGACAGCACCAACTGCAGCTTGGTACTTAAAGCTATTAGTCCAGGCAGTAATCGTTTCTATTCTATATTCTAAATGCTGCCATTGTGACTTGTACTTCACAGCGTTGGAGAAATAAGCCATGCTATTCTTAACGTGCCTCTATGGCTATAGTCTTTAATCAGCTTAATAACATAAACAAGCCCTGTCTTAAAATATACAGGTAAAAATACTTAAGAGAAATAAAGAGCAGGAGCCAGTTCACACAGCAGTCATTTATACAACAACAACAACAGGTAGCATTAAAGATATATAAGTGGTACAGCCTCAGCTTCCTCCTGTGCAACCCGCTGCTAGAGAAGACCTTTAGCTGCTGTTTGCACTGGTTTTCCCAAGCTGCTGTGGTGACAGACCGGGAGCAGATGCTACAAATAAAGTCACTGCCCTAAAATCCCCTCTACATGGCACTTGTATTCTGCGCTGATTTACAGGGGAACGTTTTAATGCCTCTCGGAGCACACCCAGCACATCCCTGTTCTGCTCAATCTGTCACAAATCCAAGCGCTCCCTTCTAGGGCCACTCAATAGGAGGGAGCTGAAAAAAGGAAATAAAAAATCCAAGCGTTCCCTTTTAGGGCCACTCAATAGGAGGGAGCTGAAAAATGGAAATAAAAAAAGCTCCGTGCATTTTACATTATTATTTTCCAAGAACAAGAAGCATCTCTGATCAAAGAGCTAATAAGCATATACCTGAGCTCCTCCTGCCCTATCCAAATCCGAATCCCTTCCTGGCCCTCCAGCATCCCAGGCTCCCCAGCTGACCTTTCCAAGGCTGCTTTCTGGTTACAGGTCCCTGTTCTTCCCTCGTCCCACTTTTCAATAAAAGGCCCCGCCAACCCTATTCAATTACCCAGCTCTCTCCCCTGCGAACAGTCCCCTTCTGCCAAACAGCTCTGCCCTCGTCAGCCGGGGAACCCGACCCATTATTTCAAACCCTTTAACCAAGAGATAGAGTTTCACAGCACTAGAAACAAGATCTAGAAATACCCGGGGCATATTTACCCCTCCACGCTGCATGAAATACACTGACCAGCCCAATCACACACATCACAAACCGCAAGGACCTTATTATTTAGTCTGATGGTATAAATATTTTCCCTGAGTCTAAGATATACCACCATTTTTGGACAATAAGCAAACGTGTAGAGCATAAACAATGATAACTATGCGCTGCTTGCCCAAAGGTAAACCCCCTTTTAGCTGTGCTAAGGACTGCTAAAGAGTCCCCTCAGCAGACCCACACCTACCCTCGGAAGAGATAAAACTCTTCTTTTGAAAGTTATTTCCCAGTATTTAACTGAAAATAAATATTAAGACCAGTTTAAGCGTGTGTACACCCATGCAAGCTAACAAACCCGGGCAAGTTATCTTTGGCATGTGCCACTTCAGGAACAAAAGAGATAAGCTTCTAGAGCGTGGTGGCAGCTCCTCCGCGCTCTGAATCACGCTACGATGATTACGAAGCCATTAGAGGTGACATTTCGCTCGGGCCCACGTACATGTAGGCAGGAACCAAGTCAACCAGAGCTGCCAGCCCAAGAGGGCTTCACCCGCCGACTCCAGCGAAGGTCTGAGTCAGTGGCAGCGGGCAGGAACCGAAGCGCAGCCCCAGGCACAGACAGGGAGGTTGTCAACTGGAAGTGTCAAGATCCTCTGCAAGCACTTGGCTCAAAACTCTTCCACTTCTTAAAAAAAACAACATTGCAAAGAACACAGCTTGTCGTTCCTTTTCCCTCTTAAGGAGGGCATTTCCTTTCCTTTCCTAAGCCCTGGGTACAGCCACACCAACCCAACAATGCCTCTATGTCTATAATCCTGAATCAGCTTCATTTTTTGGTTCCCCTGTCCCTGAAGAGGAACTGATCTTTTCCAGGAGCGTGCAGGGGCAGACGCGTAACCGCGCGCGTAGCAGGACCTAAACAAGTCGTTTGCAAACTCCCGATGGACAAGTTTTTAAAAAGGCTGCTGCTGCGTGTGTGGCGTGTGACGTGGGAGTTGTTAAAATAATTACGTGAGATGTTTATATAATAAAAAGCCAACACACACTTTAGAGTCGTGCATCCCCAGCGCTGCCTGGCATTGCGTCAGAACTGCAGAGAATGGGGTTAAAAGGAGGAGTGTGAAACCCCCAGCCCTGTATCCCAGAGCCCAAAAGGGAAAGGACCCCCCCCTCCCCCGGCAGAGAAGTGCCAGGGTGGGGGCAGATACAAATCCCATGGCACTGCCTGTACCTCAGGGGCTTCTGTTCCACCTGGAGCTGCTTATAGTGTGGGACACCAGCCCCAGGTAAGAGCCAGCAGCTCTGAGGAGTGGGGGGGGGGGCTGTGGGCCACCTGGGTGGGGGTCCCATGAGATCATAGAATCATAGAATTGCCCAGGCCGGAAGGGACCTCCAAAGGCCATCTAGTCCGACCCCCCCGCAGTCAGCAGGGACACCCCCAACTAGACCAGGTTGCCCAGGGCCTCGTCGAGCCTCTCCTTGAATATCTCCAGGGAAGGGGCCTCAACCACCTCCCTGGGCAACCTGTTCCAGTGCTCCACCACCCTCACAGTGAAGAACCCTCTCCTCATCTCCAGTCTAAATCTGTTCCCCTCCAGCTTGAAGCCATTGCCCCTCGTCCTGTCACTGCAGGCCTTTCTAAACAGG